CATAACAGCATTAATATTTTTATAGCTTAATTCATGAATATTTTTAAATATTTTAAAATTGATTTTAGAGAGAGAAGAAGGGAGAGGGATAGAAAGATAGAAACATCAATGAGAGAGACATTGATCTGCTGCTTCCTGCACACCCTCAGTGGGGACCGAGCCCAAAACCCAGGCATGTGCCCTGGCCGGGAATTGAACAGGGGCAACACTCACCACTGAGCAACACTGGCCGGGTAAATTTGTGAATATTTTAAAATGCTTTTTATAAAAAGTACAATTGTAAATGATGCATGTTTATCTATAGCTTTATATCTGCTGCTACTAATTCTCTTTTACTGGTGTCATTTATCAGCAAATTAGTTGACATTTTAATTTTATGTCTCATGATGTATTTGTTGTACCTGAGGATCACTGTTATAAACATGAAATATTGGTGAACCACAGGGTGATATATGCAGGCAAAAATACTAGGAAGTATTGGTTTTAAGTCCGGTTTTGACCAAAAATAATATATAGTTATACTAGATTGGAATTAGGAAGTCCAACTTTGAAAAATATTGTAACTTTTTTAAAGTGTTCAAAAGTGAAAAGGCTCCCTTTTTAGCACTGAATGGCACTGTGCCTAGAAATGTATCCATGTTTCCTTTGTACCAAGTCAAGTTGTGGAGTTATTTACTCATTTCTGGAATCCTGATGAGAAATGTTGCCTTGACCATCATCACAAGAGGTTTTACTTATAAAAGCAACTACACTCTCTCTTTTTTAAACAGGCATTGCGGCCTCATTTGCTGTCAAGCTTTTTAAAGCCTGGATGGCAGAAAAAGATGCCAACTCTGTTACCTCTTCTTTGAGAAAAGCCAACTTAGACAAGAGGCTGCTTGTAAGTCTTATCTGGACAAAGGTGTTGCCTGCTTCATCCTCCGGCATGGCCTGGCAGCATCTGCAGTATAGTGCATGGCCAAAAAGCCGGGTCTGTGCTGAGTTGAAGCATGGTTCCTCTTACTTCTGTTATGGTAGATAGAAACTAATTCCAATTTAATCTTTCTTTTATAAATGAAATGATTAAAGACTCAAAGAAAACAAACTTTCAAATTTGGAAGTGTTAACATAGTGTTAACATTTATCAGAACACTTTCTTTTTTAACAAGTAACTATAGAAATTTGAATTTTTCCTATAGTACAGTCCCATCGAGCCCACCTAATTGGATGTTTGATATGTTGGGTTAGAGTTGAATAACGCTTATCTGAAATGCATGTCGTTGTGTTGACAAAATAAAAATTTAAACAACAGTCCTTATTTATACCAAGATCCATTGGAAATACTAAGCTACTTAAGCAAGCAAACAAGTTAATTGTAGTTCATTCAAAACTCCTATTATCACAATTGCTTGATTATACTTTCACTAGAGGCCCAATGCATGAAATTTGTGCAAGAGTAGGCCTTCCCCCAGCTGCCGGCACCGGCTTCCCTCCGGCACCCGGGGACCCTGGCTTCCCTCGCAGAGGGAGGCCCTGCCCACCGCAGCCCGCCCACCGGCTTGCCTCAGCTCTCTCAGCCCCGGCTTCATCTGGAAGGTTGTCTGGAAGGATGTCTAGTCTAATTTCTCTATTTTTATATCTTTCCCCCCAAAAAAGCAAAGAACAATATTTTGTCCTCCTAATTTCTATCTGCTGCCTATTATTTCTTTCTTCTAGAAGCAACAGCTGTCCAAATGGCAGAGATTTCTACAAGTGAAATTGCTTTTACAATTTTAGGACAAAGTCTAAAATTAAAAGACACCCAGCCATCCTCTCCTTACCTAGTCTCTCAGCTGGTTTTCTCTTGCTATCATGCAAAGGTGCCAATTCATGGAATAATTCTAAAACTGTCTCATTGCATTTCCAATGACTTCATACTCTTGTCTCTTGAAATTTGCCTTAAAATAGCCCTACTTGTGTCTTTAAAGTCTTTAAGATATGAAAAGAACATTTAAGTTTCTCGTTTATTTCCAACACTGACAATAGATTTCATTTAGCATGAGTGCCTGCTCTGGGCCAACACAGTCCTAGAAGCTATGCAGCCAGCAGAGAACAGGATAGAAAGTTAAAGTTCCTTGTCCTCGTGGAGCCTGCTTGAGAGACTTGGGGTAAATCTCTGTATTTAGAAGTCTTTGAGGCATGGCATGCTGAAGACTGCAAGAGCATTTGATAAGAGCTAGAACATAGGAGATCAGCTCAGAGGAGTATCAGAGCCCATGTCATCGAGGGACTTTGGCTTTTATTCTGAAAAGATAGGAATCCTTTGAAGAATTCTCTGCAGATTTGTGCATGATGTGATTTAGGGCAGCGGTCACCAACCGATGGTCCATGGACCACTGGTGGTACATGAGATCTAAAAGGTTGGCGACCGCTGGTTTAAGGAAACCTTTGGAGTAGTGGTCGCCAACTGGTGGTCCGCGGACCACTGGTGGTCTGTGAGGTCCAAAAGGTTGGCGACCACTGGTTTATACTGTTTTCTATTTTGTATTTGTTTAAAGTCTTCATAATACAATCTTTAAGAAAATATTGTTCAAGTTCGGCTGGTGTGGCTCAGTGGTTGAGTGTCGACCTATTAACCAGTTGGTCATGGTTTGATTCCTGGTCAGGGCACATGCCCGGGTTTGGACTCAATCCCCACTGTGGGGCATGCAGGAGGTAGCTGATCAATGATTCACTCTCATCGCTGTTTCCATCTCTCGCTCCCTTTCCCTTTCTCTCTGAAATCAATGCAAAT